TCCATTGTATCCATTTTGGCATACTGTTGACCTCTCCTACCTCCTTTCTTCCTAACCTTAGTCTTTCTCTATTACAAGTTTGTTCACAGAAAACAGAACTGGCAGCATGTTATACTGAGTGTTATATTTAGGATTTCAGAAGTCTGGGTCCAAACTTCACCATTGATCCTTAGCTTCATTGTGATTAAGCCACGACATAGCAAAATATCAATATAAAACAAGTAATTTTTACAATGTTTTTATAGGAATAATGACAATTTATGCAAAATAAATTTGCAAATAATGATTGTTATTGGAAAAAAACATGACTAAACCAAACTCAAATTCAAGAAGACTGTAATGGGTTTTTAATAAATATATCTACACTTTTTATATGAAAGTATCATTTAATACATGGAATAAAATAATAGTGATGGAAACGTGGTTCTGCCATGCAGATAGACATGTGGAAAACTGGAAGAGAGAACAACGTAGAAGTAATCGTTCACATACATATTGAAATTGTATTTAGGACTCTTTTCCTTTGATTGTTTTTATTTATTGAATAACTATTAGAAATAAATGTTTTTTCTACATAATTTTCTTCTGCCTGCCGAAGTACCACAAGAATATTTTTTAATTTTATTTTTTTTCTCTTAGGTGATCATTTGTACTCATTCTTCTTTATTCTCTTCTGTCTTACATGGAAAATTTCTTTTACATGACACAAAGCAGCATGACTGAGATTCTTGGTGAGGCTGACATAATGTTCTTCTCTCCCTTTATTCAATGATGACCAATCAATATTGCATCTTTCTTCAATGGATAATTGACACTAGGTATGAAATTTATGAAGTAGTTTATTAAACATTATTTACTCCAAGTATCATAGAAAGGGATCTACTGTAAAGGGACTTTTATGATAGACCCTGAGATCTGAATGAATATGGCCAGAGTCACAAATAACTAAAAAATCAGAGTGAACTCATATTATGCTTTGGATGTGAGGTGTCCCCTAAAGCGTGTGCGTGAGACAATGTGAGGTTTGAAGGTAAAATGATTGGGTTATAGCCTGAACCTGACAGGCGAACTAATCCATGATAGAATTAACTCTGTGGTGACTGGAAGCAGGTGGGATGTGCCAGGAGGAAATGGTTCATTTGGGGGTATGGCTATGGGGCTATGGGGTATATATTTTGTATCAGGAGAGTGAAGCGTCTCTCTCTCTCTCTCTCTCTCTCTCTCTCTCTCTCTCTCTCTCTCTCTCTCCTCTCTCTCTCTCCTTCCTGATCATCATGGGAGATGCTTCCCTCTGCCACACTCTTCCACCATGATGTACTGCCTCACCTCAAGTTCTGAGGAATGGAACCAGCTGTCTATGGATTGAGACCTCTAAAACAGTGAGCCCCTAAATAAACTTTTCCTCCCCTAAACTTGTTCTTGTCAGATCCTTTTAGTCACAGCAGCAATAATTCTAACTAAAACAACTAATGTCCTCTTCCTTTATCATATTTCGATCTCTGTACCACCACATTGGTATCCACTGGAACAATGTGGTCATTCTGAACTGATCCTTTCCTGACTCTCAGACATGCCAAGAACCCAACCTCATTCTGCATAAGTGGTCACAATGCACCCTATTCCCATCTCATTCCCTTAGAAAGTGGAGATACAAATCAGCACTTACTCCCCACTGCACAGTGATCATAGCAAGTAAACATCTCAAGAGATCTCCCCTTCAAACTTCCAAACAAGGAAAACAGTAAAACCCTGGGGCCAACTGAAAACTGTTTTCTATACACTAAGCAATGCAGTGAGACCCTGTCTCTAAGTAAAATACAAAATAGGGCTCGGGGTGTGGCTCAGTAGCCGAAAGCCCCTGAGTTCAATTCCTGGTACCTCACACTACCCAAAAAAAATCTAACATGCAAAAATGTACCATTGCTTTTCTCTGTTGGTCTTTTTTGTTCTTTTCTTTGGTCTATTAGGTATCTTGCTCCATATTGCCAAGTTTTTTAATGACCACCATAGGAAGAGGATGGGCCATAGTCAGAGAGCTGGTGACAAGAAATGTTACTACTAACTCCCTTTTTTTCTTTTATCCTGAGCTTCTACCTCTCCCCAATACCTTCCACAGAGCTCCCTTCACATCCTTGTTCCTTAGGGTATAGATCAGAGGATTGAGCATGGGGATGATTACAGTATAAAAAAGGGCAACAAACTTTCCCTTACTCTCAGAGTAACTGCCCAGAGGTTGAAGGTAGGTGTACATGCCTGAGCCATAAAACAGACAAACCACAAAGAGATGGGACCCACATGTCCCAAAAGCCTTTCTGCGTCCAGACATTGACTTGATCCTCAGCACGGCCTGAGCAATGTGTGCATAGGAGCCTAGAATCAGTGCTGCAGGAACAACAATGATTATGACTCGGGCCACAAACATCTTGGCCTCTGTGCCTCCTGTGTCCTCACAAGCCAACTTCTGGAGAACAAGCATCTCACAGAAGAAATGGTTCAGATAATGGAGGCCACAGAGAGGCATGGCCATCATGAGGCTTGTCTGAATCAGAGAGTTCGTGAGGCCTCCCACCCAGGCAGCAATAGCCAGGAACCGGCAGAGAAGGGGGTTCATGATGGTTGTGTAGTGGAGTGGACGACACACAGCAGCATAGCGGTCAAAGGCCATCACCACCAGGAGCACACACTCAGTTCCACCCAGAGAGAGGTAGATGAAGAGCTGAGCCACACACCCTCCATAGCTGATGGTCCTGTCCAGTCCAGAAAGATTGATCAGCAGCTGGGGCACAGTGCTGGTGGTATAGCAGAGGTCCAGGAAGGAGAGGTGGCAGAGGAAGAAGTACATGGGCGTGTGCAGTCGAGGATCCAGTCGTGAGAGAATGATGATGGTGGTGTTGCCAAAAAGGGTTAAGGAGTAGAAAAGTGAAATATAAATAAAAAGAATGAGTTCCAGTTGAGGCCAATCTGAGAAGCCCACCAAAATGAAGCCCTCTCCAAAACTGGTGTTGAAAGTTCCCATAGCCTTTCACCTGCACAAGTAACAGAAGACAATTAAATGCCTCCTACGAAGAACTTGAATTAAAGAATCATTTCACAATTATCCCTCAGGATTCCAACACCAAGGTTTTTATAATGTCAGAGAGATGTGTTTAATGTATTTGAAATTGCTGAAATTGCAACTGCTGATGCTTATAACTATAATTATTGCAATAAGTAATAAAACCACAATCCAAATGGATTTCAACGTGATGAAACCTAGACATTTAAAAAATTAATAAACACTTTAATAACCAAAATCCTGATATATATTGAATTAGGAGAATTGAACTTCCAAATCTCAGTAGAACAAATGTAAAATGGAGGATACGAATCCTGCAAACTTAACTGCTATTTTTAAAAAGTAAAAAACATCCCAAAATAGCAAAAGCAATTCTTCGAAAGTACAATAAAGTTTTGGTATCATACTTCCTGTTTTAATTTTTTTATTACAAAGCAAAGGTGGTACTGGCAAAAGACACACACACACACACACACACACACACACACACACACACACAAACACGTCATGGTGAGGAACCCCTGTAAACCAATTCAAAGCCAGACTCAAGAACTTAGTGAGACTCTGTCTCCAAATCTTAAAGTGTAAAGGGCTGACAATGTAACTCAACAATAGAATTCTCCTGAGATCAATCTCATTCCTGAGTTCAATCCCCAGTACTACATACAGAACAATGAAACATAAGACATGACCCAGATATAAATACTAACATATATGGTTAATTTTTCACCAGAGGAACAAGAAGCAAATATGAAGACAGAATAATCTCTTCCATAAATGGCTGGGGAAAATGAACTTAAACACCAAAAGAATTAAATTTACCATATACAAAACTGACTCACATTGGATATGACAAGGATATCCTGCCATTTTCGATGACATGATAAATGAAACTGAGGATATTATGTAAGGGAAATAAGCCAGAAGCAAAAATAAAAATTTCATGAAATAATTTACATGTGTGTTGTAAAAGTCAAGTATACAGACCCAGTAATTAAAACATGGTTGCCTGGAATGAGATGAGGAAGCAAA